TGAAACAAAAATACATCAGCCAGTCCAATTCCTCTGAAAACTGATTTCCAGCAAAAAATTTAATGTGTGTGTGTGTGCACATGCACACGTATGTGCGTGTATGTGTGTGTGTGGGGGGGGAATGATATGGTGATGAAACAGAATATTCAGGATTTACAACAAAATATAGCAGAGCGTAACACTACTTCGTTTGCCGCAAAAGCGGAGCGAAGCAATGAACGCGATATCAACAAATTGGAAGTGCACACGCAGAATGGTAAGTAGATAGAAACGTGCCCGCGTTTCTCACGCACAAAGGACGCACAAGACGTACTCGTACAGATTAATGCAAATAAGCGTCTCAGTTGTTACTTTGCTGTGTCTGAAAAGCGCGCCCTTTTTGTAAACGGAGGCCGTACAACGATTGCAGTAACCTTTGCGCGCCCAGTAACTACAACAGAATCGTTCTGACGAAACTCAAAGGCTAGCCAAGACGTACGATTTTCCCCACTGCAAGATAAGGGCGCGCGATCGAGCGTACACCCTCTTATTCTCTATGCAAGCCAAAGTACGCGTGAGAGTTCAGAGCCGTTGCGCGCTCACTGCACCATCTTCATGATAATGCTGAAAACACGATAGTTCCCTCCCGAGACACCCGCCAACAGCGGTAAGTGGTAGATATGAATAGCTTGCCGTTTGAACGTTGAAAGAGGTACCTTTCAGTGGCTCAGTGGCTAACGCCTCGCATTCACGGCGCGGAGGTCCCACGTTTGATTCTGCACGCTAGAGTCTTTTTCCTGGAATTTTTTTTCTTCCTTGCATTTGTTTTCATATATATATAGATACGTATACATATACGGTGCATGACATCGATGCCAGCGGCGCAATCCAACCGAGAGAGTCTATATAATTGCTATCGCAATAAAAGCCTTATAAAGAACTGCAGCACAGCACACAGCAACTACAACTGAGCCCACAACTGTGCTCCTACATATAAAGAAGCTAAACACAGTATATTCTCATTAAACAGAACCTGAAAGAAGTGGGAAAATATGTTTTGTTAAACGTCATTTACTGAGAGGTGAATAGTGGACCCAAATTCAAGTGCGAGGCCAATCATATCAGAGGTATTTGTTCCAATTAAGCAGCAATTCTATTTAATACATTTCCAGCAACTGAGAGTCCAGATGTACAGTATTTAATTTGCCCAATTTTAAAAAAATAAAAATGTCATGGTTATATAATCCAAAAGGACGATATGATTATGAGGCATACTATAGCAGAGGACTCTGGATAAAATTTAATGCCAGGTGTTGAGACACACAAAAATTAATCTATGTTTTTATATTCTCGAACCATCAAAATGCAACATCTGTGGCTGGTATTGAACCAACATGTATAATCTAAAATATAGGACTGCAGTTATTGAACCAATGTGACGGGCAATTTTTCCATATGTGTTGAACACAGCACTGTTGATACAAAGCTATCCTAACCATGTACCACCAGCTAAGTGTAGCGTTAGGTATCTTTTATGGCAACTTAAGCAAAATAATGTAGCGACTTAGCTCTAGAGAGCTGTTTTAGTTAAATGTAATTGTGCATCTCTTCTATTCAGAAAGGCTTCAAATATAATTTGTACAAAATGAACTGCCATACCTTTTACTATGGTCGCCTGAACTTCAGACATAACAGGTGGTTCTTTCCCATTGTCACTGCAGCCTGTGACGTTGCGTATCTGCTCAGCAAGCAGCACGTGCCCGGTATGAAGATCACATATTCTTCTGCTGGTGCGTGGCTTTCGCCCATCCAAAAAGAACAGAACACCTGCGATCGATACCATGAAGCAAATTAAAAGAAGGCAAGATGGAACAACTATGTGCATATGGTGCAGTTGAAAAAAAATTTACCATTAACATAATTTTTAGGGCTTAGCCAGCAGCTCTAAAATGAAAAAAAGCACAGTATGGCAGCGAGCTCATTCTACAGGAAGAGATCTTCTGCTGCAAGTTTCAGAGTCATCACAATTGCCTTTAGACTAAATTGGTCAACACAGCTAGTTTTATTTTATCCTCAAGGCACTTAGATAGTTAGATAATTTAGCTTTCCAACAAATAATGTTATCAGCACCCCACAGGAATCGTTTTCTAAAAGTTATTCGGCTTCAAAAGAGAAATATAATTGAAATAAGCAGCCAGGTCTCAATGAAACATTTGGAAAGTCATGCCCATGGTAACTAGTAAAATCACACAGCATGAATAGATATGATGAGAATTATTTATATACATACATATGGAATCGGTAGCATAGCAGCCTTTTATTATGCTTTAGACAACCTTCGAAGAAAAATGCAAACATGATTTAATGCGAAATTAGCAACAGCAACTTCAGTGAAGTGTATGGTACTTAGTCTATGCAAATTGGAAAGTGGAGCACTCAGCTGCAAGGTGTGTGCAAGGTTAATTTTAGCATGAAGAATGTACAGAAAATATGTTTCCTATGCTGGCCATGATCAAAGTGTCTTGCATTACACCTAATTAGGGACAAAGGTGACCACACTGCAATACGCAGCCTTGACAATGCAGATCACGCTTTTTAAAAGATGTATAATTATTGAATTTATTCTTGTATCATTGTAGACTTCTTTTTGTGAAAGTAGTGATAATGTTTAGGCTAGGGATCAAGCATTCATTACTGTCAAGGACAGCGCTTTACATAAAGCAGAAAAAATAGAATGCATCAAACAGTTGTCCATCAAGCAATATAAAAAATAACGATGCTGGGGGGGGGTTCGATTTCTCAGAGTACATTTCAACCCGTGATGGGGTAGCCATCACACTCGCTACTAGTAAAGCGTAGGGTATTCGGCTAAATGTCTGCGTTTGTGGTGTTTCAAACGTTCCAGTGAGCTTAAATAACTTGTACTAAAAACACTTCCTTAATTTATATACTAATTCTGTCACCAGCAGTCGACAGCAAGCTTATGGTACTTGATGTAACATTTTTCTGCACAAAGGCTTAGCCCCATGAAGAAGAACGGCTAATTCAATTTCAGACGCGGCATTTACGCTCAACAACTACATTATTTCTTGTTTTTTCTCGTTGCAATTGCTAGGGTGCGTTATGTCAACCTTGCGGTTGTAGTGTGCTATCGTGCAGGTGAGCTCATCCAGAAGATCCAGACAAAATCTTCCGGCTTCAAATACCCTAAACTTATGCTCAGTTTATTGTCGCCATTCAGTGCCACCCTGTCACGAAGCTTTCGTTTACTTTTCGTCACTTTAGGTTACTCCACAACAGATCGCCCCGCCGCGGTGGTCTAGTGGCTAAGGTACTCAGCTGCTGACCCGCAGGTCGCGGGTTCGAATCCCGGCTGCGGCGGCTGCATTTCCGATGGAGGCGGAAATGTTGTAGGCCCGTGTGCTCAGATTTGGGTGCACGTTAAAGAACCCCAGGTGGTCCAAATCTCCAGAGCCCTCCACTACGGCGTCTCTCATAATCATATGGTGGTTTTGGGACGTTAAACCCCACATATCAATCAATCCACAACAGATCAGCTGATCTACTACCGCAAACCATCGCAGGTATCACAGCAGGCGTACATAATTAACTCGTTCGAACGCATACCGCTTCCAGCATAGCTTCGCCGTATTTGAAGAAATCTTATTTCTCTTGAAAGCCTGGACATGTGTCTTGTCCCTTTGAAGCAGCAAGGGCTCCGGGGAACACAGATGGAGGCCCACGGTATGATCATACTCGGGGTTTCAGCCTTCAGTACTGCTTTGACGATCGGAAACGACGACGACTTAGCGATGCTAGAGCAGCCTGTTGTAGCTTCTCCTAAATGTCAAGGAAATCGGGCTGATCTCCGTTGTCATCATTTTGCCGTTCACAGACGAACACATCCCACACTGATTTCATGCCACCATTCAACAACAACACTCACAGAGGTGCCATCTTTGGTGCTGTTGCCAGGAGTACAAAGCTAAATTGGCTGACTTATGCTAACGCTGCCAAACAAATAAATATAAAAAAACGTTCATTCAAACTTTTTGCACGCTTTTAAATTACTTTGGTATAAGCATTTTTAGTTGTTTTTTTAAGAAAACAAAGTAAATTACTTTGCGGTTGTAAAAAAAAATTTTTTTTGCTTTGTTCGACAACAATAATAACAAATAACAATGTTAAAAAATATGAAACGTTATTTGAAGTAAATATAATGTTTATTATTTGGTAAAAAAAAGTAAACGGAAAAAACTTACCACCAATCACTGTTTGATGATGATGATGACAATGCAATAAAAACCGAAACTTGGTCAGTTTAGTGCAATCGCGACACCTGTTTCGCTTTATTATATTTAAACCCAAAGTTCATTCCAAACGAGGCATGCGCCACAGTTACAAAGAATAAGCATCGACAATACCAGCTAACAATAGGCTGGTATCGCACCACACATGCTTACTTCTTGCGGGTTGTTTGTTTACCTTCGAAATAATAAAGCCAGCCACGAGGCACGCCTTGGTTTCAGGCATTTTCGTGAGCAGTAATTACTGACCAAGACCATCCTCTCAATAAATGAGCCCCTGGTCCCACAGCGGCAGGATGTCGGAGCAACAGGGGTACGCCACCCTACCCACCCTGGCAGGCATTGATCATGCATGCGAACAGCTATTAAGTCTTGCTACTCAGGAAAACAGCATGACTTGATCACTATTCTTATTCCTCTTTTGCCTTCGAAGTGTAAAAGCCAAGTATGCCCTCAATTTTAAATTTGGTTTTGTATTGTGCATATTCTCACGCTATTCGCTGCAAAAATACATTATTCCTTTTGTCATACACAAAGCCTCACTACATGTCTACCAAACACATGTCTTCCACGGCAGGAACATTGGCCAGCAAAAGTAAAGGATGAAAGGTACAAACCCAAAACAGCACAAGAACAATTCGCTTGCAAAAGTTATGAACTGGGGAAGCAGTGAACTAGTAAAATTTCAGAAACAGCAGATTCAGAGTCACCGAGTATTCGCACACGTGGTTTATTTGTTTCTACAAAAAGTATGTTCTTGCACCCACATCATCATCGCACTAAAAAAAATCCTAGACTGACTTGTTCCTTTCACTTCAACAACTCCTTATCATGCAGCAATTTATTTAACAAAATGATGCCATATGTTTCTAAAAACACAGCAGACCCTGAAGGCAACAACAGCTGTAAAAAAAACAAGTCAACAGACAAATCCAACATCACGAACACAAGTGCGTTCGTCAAGGGAAAATGATATATGGCACAGAGAAAAAAAAAAGGTCCTTTGAAAGAGAGCATAGACATTGTCAACACAACCCTCCCTGGTGAGTAAAAAGATTTGAGGGAGTTCCGTGGTCACTATTTTAAAACAATAACTTGAGTACAAGCATCAGGGCTAACATGCTAAACACACAAACATGCATACATACACACACACACGGGTATGAGAAACAAACAAAATAAATGCCTCTAACTGTGCCATTCTACAATCAAGCATTAATTCCCCAATACCGTTGGGCAGAAAAAAAACTGCTCATTCAGCTTAGAAACAACACCTGCTGCACTCGGGCGGATCTTTAACGAGTTAGGTGCAACAAAAACTTGACCTCGCACACACTTCTGTATTCGCAACCAATATTGCACACAGAATGAGCTCATCGCAGCTATCATCAACAGCTGCTGGCACAAACAAATGACTGTCTACAATAAAACCATCAGTAAAGTCATGGATAACAACAAAACTGGTTACATCCAGTTGACAGCTGTAGTGATTTTTGTCGTATGCGCAAACACCAAACACACAGGTGAGAAACAAAAAAAAGAGATTCCAAACAATATTTCAAGACTGCCTATACATAAGTACTAAGTAACAACCAAGACTTAATAAACAGAGCAGGCAAACACTGTTTAACTTAAAACTAGTAACAAAAATTTTACTAGCACTAAAAAAAAAGGTTTGTTTAGGAACAAAATAAACTGGTGTTGCACGGAAACAGTCCTGGCTTGAGTTTGATGTGGACCGACAGCAGGCCACCAGGCTTTACGTTTACAGTCATAAATGACTCTGCATTCAGTTTCACATGACGCCAAAGAGCAGTAAATTTCGTGCTCAAGCCATACAAGAAATTTCTATCGTCAGTGATCTTTGTCCATTATTTTTTCCAGCTGACTTTTGATAGACCGGAAAGATGGTCTTGCGTCTGGCTTCTGAAAAAAAAAAAGGGGGGGGGGGGGGGGCTACATTAAAACCCGAGGCATAGATTTCAAATAAAAGTTGCAATACCACGATGAAAACATACAAATCTATATTACTAGAGATGACTCGCACAAAACAGCATTGCTGTCATCTTTCTATCCTGTTCTGTTTGCTTTGCCACCAATAAGTACTCTCTAAATCTTTGAGGCAGATTGCAAACCAGCACAATGTGGAAGTCCTGGTCTTGGTGTTATCGTTGTGGTCATGGCACTTAAAGTGGACCATAACATGGCAACTTAGCTTAAAAAGTTTCGGTGCTTGATACTGCAACTTTCAATGCAATTAGAGTTGGAATTGTACAATATTTGTTGAACTTTTTGTTACGAGTACTACTGCAGCTGTTTATGACAAAAAACTTAGGCCAAATTTCACTAAAAGGCATTGTTGTAGTTGACGAAGGATATGATGGAGTGACGCACATGCATTATTCTTCTAGTAGAACATAACGAGAGTGTACAGCCAACACAAACAATGGTTAGCCAAAATTTGATTGATTGATATGTGGGGTTTAACATCCCAAAACCACCATATGCTTACGAGAAACGCCGTAGAGGAGGGCTCGGGAAATTTCGACCACCTAGGTTCTTTAACGTGCACCAAAATCTGAGCACACGAGCCTACAACACTTCCGCCTTCATCAGAAATGCAGCCGCCGCAGCTGGGATTCGATCCCACGACCTGCGGCTCAGCAGCCGAGTACTTTAGCCACTAGACCACCGCGGCGGGGCATGGTTAGCCAAAATGCTCAGTCGTCACAGGGAACTGTGCAACAGCTGCGATTTTTTTCAGGATCAAGACGAACGCCTGCGCGAGTGACAGCGTGGCCATGGAACTGCAGTTCTTCGTACCAAATCGGTGATGGAACTGTGCGAGTAAATGTCGCAGGCTTTCTGCTAAATATACACATTACTCAATAAAAATTATCTTTTTTTTTTTATTTCGTCCTGGTCATCGTTTTATATGACTTCATTTTCTACTTTATGCCGTTAGGCACTTCATGACAAATTTTAAATAGAAGAATAGCTTTCACTCATGTTGAACCAAAAAGTTCATCTGAAACACTAGCTTACTTCTAATAAAATGCTTTGCATTAGTAGCTTTATTGAACCAATTTAAAATTTTGATTATGGCAATTAATATGGGAAATGGTAATGAATTCGGAAAATCACAACTTGATGTGTGAAGGCCACAGCAAAGTTGAAATCTGGCAAAATAACAGCTCTGCTCGCACCTTTTCCCAGCAGGAGCGCATGACCTGGTACACATCAGAAGGGCATGCCGGAGGCCGGGCTAACCTCTGGCCATGTTGCACCTGCTCAACCACCTCGGCGTTGGCGGCCCGGCCATAGGGAATCTTGCCGCATGTGAACACTTCCCACATTAGCACACCTGCAGATATTAAATTGCAACACATACAGCTCTCGCGTATCATAGTGAAACCGTGCAAACACACCTTTATGTATTGACTCCCATCCATACATATAAAAAACACAGATGACCGGGCATAACAAATATCATTGACTATGCTTTATTACAGTGAGTGTTCTGCTGCCATATATGAAACACGAAATGCAGGATTTGAAATAATAGTGACTTCCAAAAAGATTAATATGATTGATAAGTGAAGTTTAACGTCCCAAGACCACCTTATGATTATGAGAGACGCCGTAGTAGAAGGCTCCGCAAATTTCGACCACCTGGGGTTGTCTGAGCACACAGGCCAACAGTATTTTCACCTCCACTGAAAATGCAGCCGCCGCAGCCAGGATTCGATCCCCCGACCAGCGAGTCTGCAGACGAGTACTTAAGCCACTAGACCACCACGATGGGGCAACTTCCAAAAAGCAAGCATTTGTTCACTCACAGCCACAATATTTTTCCCAGTAGCAAAAATGCACAAATTAAGCAGCATATTCTAGGCATGCCAATGTAAACACGTGGCTCGGCCAGTCACTTAGCTTCGCTGGCCCATAGCCAGCAAGCCAACGTGCCAATCCTGTGTGATTAGACAGACACAGAGACCGCACAGTTGCGTGCGAACAATGCTGTGAAACTTTTTTTATTTCACCAACTTATCCTCACACTACAAATAAGCATGCAAAGTTTATGAAAGCATTCACACTCAGCAGAAGAAATTGCTGCTCCTTAGTAGGCACTTACCATTTTTCCTTTTCTCTATGTCAATATCTGTATGCATGCTTATAAAGGATATAAAATTTAATGAAGGTGTTCTTGCGTCACATGTGACTTAGATAATCATCACAGAAGACAATGGGGCAAATGGGACTAGAAAGACATGCAGGAATTTGTGCTGTATTGTGCCAAGTGTGACTGCACTGCCAATTTCAAACAGATGCTCATTTTGCACAGATATTGCGATTGCCATGCCCATAAAATCTATGGAGTGTTCACAATTCATTCCAATGGGCTAATGCGTGCGAGCCTACCGTCCAGCCTAATAAATGAAACGGAGATTAATAACTTTCACAATTTAACTTAGCATTTTCCCTAGTTGCGATGCATGTGTAGGGCCTGCCCTTGACCCCACCTTTTTTTTGATAGTATTTCTCTTCCCAAAGCAGTGTATATATCTGTTCCCACAAAAAATGCTAATGTTGTTTGCAGCACAAAATTCTTTTTGTTTGTCTTGTCTCATTTGCCCGCGCTACCCTTTTATACTTGCATTAGGAGATGAGACTTATAGGGCGATTTATTTCCAGCACGAATCTTTGGGTTTATTTATAGTTTATTATGATGCTACAATCACCCTAAGGCGTTTCTGTAGAAAGGACGTTGAGGTGGTAAAAAAACACAAATGACAATTACAATCTAAACACACGAAGAGAAAACGCACCAATACAGTTGATCCCGGATATATCGAACTCGAAGGGGATCGCAAAATAGTTCGATATATCGAGAATTTGAAATACAAAATATGCACATTTAAGGCCTAAATTGAAGAATTTCAGGCCTCTGAAATAGGGCAACGAGAGCTAAAATAAGAGCTAAAATAACAATTCGCTCAGAAACAACGTGCGAACTGCAGGTTACTGCACTTTATTTATTCCGTAAACTTGTCTTGCTTATTGCGCGCTGTCAAGTTCCAGTAATCCTTAATATCATTGAAGCTTTTCAAATAAGCGAACTTGGCTCCTTCGGCCACAACCTTGGTTGACACAGAACGCCGATGCAAGCTTTGTAGTGCAGCAAAAGCTTGGTTAGCAGCGGAAGCGCAAGCATTTGCATATTCATCATACACGCATGAGTACACTTCCGCGGCACCGGCAGCCAAAATCTCAACATCGATGCAGTCAGAAACAACAACATCGTCATCTCTACCGATGACATCGCTTCTGTCCGAGATGGTGCCTGGAAATACTGATAAGTCGCAGAATTCACTGAGGCACCGTACGCCGTTGCTAGCGGTCATGACGCACCCGAAGTCATCCTCTGGCCCGCAAGGAAGGTTTACAACACAGTGTTTTTTCCGACGTCGCTTTAAGTGCCAGTCATAATCTTTTTCGCTACGCGCGGGTCAACGTTCAGTTAAACTCCCAAATGGGGATTTGTCAGGAACGAGGCGAGAAGTGCACAAACCACAAGGCCAAAAATACGCAACGCAGAGTTCGTCCCAGTTCTCACCGTCGAAATGTTGGTGATATCGATGCGACTATGGCTTTGTAGCTGTCAGCAGCTGCTTTCAGCGGCTTTGATGCATAAAGATTTAAAAAATGTAGCCTTCGAGACACGTGCTTTGAAACCGAATAGACTAAAAATACGTGACAAGGTAGCACATCTCGAAGGCCATGCATTTCAGGCTTGCATGCCATTGTGCGCTAGCAACAAGGTAGAGAATGCGAACCACATGCGAACATTGCACTGAGATCGCTGAGTCAGTTCCCATTCTCATTTCGGTGCCCTCGGCAATCGGTGTTTTGGAAAACAATACGTCCGCACGCTAAGACCTGCAGATCGCGCATCAAACGTACAAATGTAGCAAATGCCACGCTACGAACCAGATCAGCGTGATGAAATAAACCCGGTTTTTTTTTTTTTTTTTTTTGCCGGCGCGTGAAAAAGGATCAAAACTTGTTAAAACACAGCCTGAAATTGATCAATATTTGCTAGGAAAAATGCACTTTCTGGGCTTGGACGCGGCACAGCGTTCGATATAGCGGATGTCCCGTTGTGCGGGAGTTCGATATACGGGTGCACCGGTCTGATATTTTTGCATTGGAAGTTCAAGAGGATTTTTCAACTGTTCGATATAGCTAATAATTCAATATATCTGAGTTTGATATATCCAGAATCGACAGTACAGACACCAAGAATAGGTTATGGATATCAGAATATGTACTAAACACTATCACAAATATGCTGTCTATATGTACAATGCGCTATAACACAAATATGCTAGCAAAAAAAGCACCAAAACCATCCGAACACCCCAGCAAAGGTTCAGTTGTAAACAATACCCACCATATGCCCACACGTCAGACTTGCTACTGAAGCGAGTGTAGCCTAGTACTTCAGGGGGAGCCCACTTGATGGGGAACTTTGCTCCTCCAGAACTGGTGTACTCATCATCAATGACGTATCTGCAACGTCCCAAGGAAACAAATAAAATGCAACAAGGTGTTTTACAATGTTGGAAAGACTGCGGGCTGTAAGTACTATTGAACACAGTAATTCCTCGAACACAGCTTTCATCCGCAAGTTCTGCACTCCCCATAGAAACACATCAAAGCCAGTTTGATCTCTGTAGGTAACTGTAGATATTTCACACAATAGCGCCAGAGTTTCACACAAAGTTGGTGACAGCTGCCCATGCATGCTTCACTCATGCTTGAACACTACGCACAGTGCAATGACAAAGCATGCACGTCAGCTTAGCTGATGACCGATAAGATACATATAATTTGTCATGGAAAGAAAAGGGGGAAGAGAGCAAAGACAACGTTCAAACGGCGTGTGTGAACGAACGTGAAAATCGGAATTGAACGCCGATGCTTCACAGTGCGTAAGACGGATGCCTCGCAGAGAGACTTTCAGCAGTTGAGCTGGCCACATCAGGATAAATCATGTTCTTTCTCAAATAAACATGCACTGGTTTCGTAGTATTTCGTGTTCGATTTTTCATGCTTATTAGAGCATAACGCGATCACGAATGTATAGGCAGGCGACTCACGTGGTTGCGTTTAAGATTTTTGCACAAATTTTTATTACCCTATTTACTCGATTCTACCGCGCCCTCGATTGTAACGTGCACCTGGATTCCACGACGAAAAAAAAAAGTAAGACATCAATTGCGACGCGTACCCATTTTTCTCGTTGGCCCACACGATCACACCACTCGAAAAAACAACTCCTTTCGGGAGCGTCTTCCATTTAAATATGAGGTACGGGGGAATCTTGTGCCCATCTGACGTGTAACAGAGCTGTTGATTATTTTTCATGTTCTGGGCTGGGACAAGGAAACGAGAAAGAAGAAGAGCGGGAGCGAGGGACGCGGGGACGCTCAAGTGACAGCAGAGCGCTTCCGAACGCAGTTAAATAAACAAGTTTTTTTGCCTTATACCTTAAAGACGGAGTTGAGTCTGATCGCAGTGTCTGGAACGCCATCGTCTAAACAGAGCATTGCCGTCACTGTAGTTTTACCGTGGACTAATGTCAGCACGCGAAATTGCTACGCGCCCTTCTTCTCGACAGTTGTGGTGCCAGGCATGTCGAAGTACAGAGGCGTCTCATCGGCATTCCCGATTCGCCCAAGCAGGTAGCCGCTGTTTTACCGCAAGTTTAGGACAAACCTCTGAAAACTGTGAGGCTTTCCATTGTACTCCTCCGGAAACTTTTCGCATATGCCCGTTCGCCTTCGGAGGGACGTTGCAGATCATTCAGGCTGTGCAGGAAAACTGGGATCTGTTTGTTAACAAAATCTACGAACTTACTCGTACCTTTGTTCCCTTAAAGTCTATACCTGTGAGCTCTTGCTCACCCTGGTACAATACATACCTAAAGCGACTTTCTAACGAAAAGAAACGCTTGTTTCGTGCTGCGAAACTCCAGAGTACGGAGAAACGCTGGCGCTCCTACGAGAGTGCTGCGCGAGTTTACTCGTCAGCAGTTTCGGATGCTAAGGCTAACTTTCTATCTAACACTCTGCCATCAATGCTTGTCAGCAACCCTAGAAAGTTTTGGAAAACTATTACAAATACCAACGACAGTGAAATTGTACTTGTTGACTCGGACGGCCTTCCCGTATCCTCCGAGATGTGTGCAGCACGTCTGAACGAAAATTTTGTCCGGAACTTTTCAGGGTCGTCCACTTCTGCTACCGTCTCTTTACCAGCGCGCAACTATCCTTCAACGTCTGTTATAGAGACTGAGGCCCATGGAATTGTAAAACTAATTGAATCACTCAGAATATCCTCTGCTTGTGGTGTTGACAACATAAACGCAAGAATCCTTAAAGAAACTAAGCATGCCTCATCTATGTTCCTGTGTAAAATATTCCAACAGTCTTTGAATGAAGGTGTGGTGCCACGCGTTTGGAAAGAGGCAAAGTGGTTCCGCTACACAAATCAGGAAAGAAGCATTCTGTTACTAATTACCGACCTATTTCACTTACTTCTATACTATGCAAACTTTTGGAGCACATAATCTTCTCTTACTTGGTCAACTTTCTAGAATCAAAATTGTTCTTAGGCACGTCACAGCATGAATTTAGGAAGTCATTCTCATGTGAAACACAGTTGCTTTGTTTTACCCATTCGTTACATATCATTCTAGATCGGAGTTCACTGGTCGACTGCATTTTTTTAGACTTTTCGAAGGCTTTTGACAAGATTAATCATCACCTACTACTATATAAGCTTAGGATCCTTAATATTGATGGCGGCATTCTTGCTTGGATCGAGTTTTTCTTAATTAATTGCTCACAATTTGTTGTTGCTAACAACTACAGCTCACCGTCTTCTCCCGTTACTTCTGGTGTGCCCCAGGGTTTTGTGTTGGGCCCTTTACTATTCCTTATTTATATTAACGATTTACCCAATGTTGTAACTTCTTCGATTCACCTTTTCGCCGATGACTGCGTTGTTTACCAAGAAATTTCATCTAACTCTGTCGCTAGTTCTTTGCAAAGTGACATTAATAATATTGCCAGCTGGTGTAGAACTTGGCACATGGACCTCAACACTAACAAATGTGAAGTTTTACGTATCTCACGAACTACTGGACCCCCTGCTAACTACATCTTAAATTACATTGATCTAGAGTCTGTAACTTCGTATAAATACTTGGGGATTCATATAACATCTGACTTGAACTGGAAACATCATATTATCTATGTTATTAACAATAGCAACCGTATGCTAGGGTACCTACGACGCAACTTTAGCCGTGCCCCTGAAGCCGTGAAACTAACCATGTATAAAACACTAGTTCGTCCAAAACTTGAATATGCATGCTCCATTTGGGATCCTTTTCAACTGAACTTGACTCACTCGCTTGAAATGGTACAGAATAACGCAGCACGCTTCATTCTATCTACCTACCTTCGCACTAGCAGTATTACGTCAATGAAACACAGCCTTTCACTACAGTCACTTGAATCACGTCGCAAAGCATCTCGTCTCATACTTTTTCACAAGATATTCAATCATCCACTTTTGAAAGCTCAGTTCATTACCACTCCTGCCTATTACTCAGCTCGTTTAGATCATCAACATAAGGTACACGTCATTAGCTGCCGCACTAACACTTTTCATCATTTTTTCGTCCCACGCACATCCAACGACTGGAATCACCTTCCCTCGGACATGGTTTCCATGTCAAATCATGACTTGTTTTCTTCCACAATACAGGAGTACTTACGTGATGACGCGTGAAGTGTATATTGTACATTTATATTATTGTATTCTGTTTCCCCTATGTTTCTGATGGTACTTACACATACATCCAGTGTATTGCCTAACATCAAATTTACATGTCTTGTAATCTTTATCATTTTGATGTCACTATGCTTCTCTTGTTCATAGTTTATTATTTTCTTGTACCCCACTCCCCTCTGTAAAGCTATGTGCGATTGAGGGTAAAATAAATGAAATGAAAAGACTTTCCTCTTCATAAAGTTAGTTAGCCAGCACCTGCTCGCTTTAAACTGGCGCCGCATTAGACCTTTTTCTAAGGCTAACTGCATAGCCCGCCCTTGGAGCAGTTCTGTCGTCACGGGCTGCTCGTTGCTCAAGCACATACTCGCCGAGCAGCTCTTCAATTTGCGGAAACCGACCCTGCTGTGGTCCACTGAAGCCTTTGCGTGAAGCTTTGCTGTCGACAATCTTCTACTTTTGTTTCCGGCAGTCTTGCACGCACGCTTCGGGAACTCCGAAAAATCGCGATGCGGCCCGATTTCCGTCCGTTTCTGCACACGCGATGACTTTTTTTTTAAAAGCGGCATCATGGTGCACTAGAGTTTTTGGAGTCGGCCCTTCCATGCCGTCGATGCTAATGCACTACAAGATGACGAACTCCTCAGCACACGTACGAAGTGCCGCACATGGGAAACACATAGGCAGAAATGGTCGACGCGCCATGCCGACGCACGTAGGGGGCGGCCATTTTGGAAATGCCGATGGCAATAGAATGACCGTATTCATTTTTTTTTTTCGTACTCGATTCTAACGCGCATGTGATTTATGAACTCGCTTAACCGGAAAAAAGGTGCGCATTAGATTAGAGTAATTACGGTACTTCTATTACAATGACTTTTCAAAATAACGAATTACTTTCAGCGGTCCTTTGAGATTAGTTGTATCGAGATTTCACTGTTCTGAAGTTGGTTTGTGAACACTGGCTTCATGTTTGTTTATGAAGCACGTTTAGGGCACAAATTTTATAGGGAAAACGAGAAATCATGTAAGGTTGGTTTGGTTTGTGAATACAGGCTTCAGCTTTCAGGATGAAGTGGCAGTTTCGTCCATCATGTGTATCTACTTTCATCCTGTCATCAGCTTTGATGTCTTCCATGAATATGGCACATTTCTATGTATAGCTTTAGTTATTCCTTTAAAGATTGTTTACAGTGTGGAGAATCATATATAATCAAGAATCACCTTGCCAGGCCAAAATCAGCAACCTTGACAACATAGTTCTCGCCAACGAGGCAGTTGCGTGCGGCCAGATCACGATGAATGTAGTTGTGCAGCTCGAGGTAGGCCATGCCACTGGCCACTTGCAGGCATATGTCAAGAAGCAGCACAGGGCCTTTCTCACACAGGGCACGCTCGTGACGACGCAGGAACTGCAGCAAGGAGCCTGAGACAGTAGTCATAGCAGAGAGTGAACAAGTAGAGAAACAGATGAACCAGCCAAGAAGCAAAACACTAGATTGCAGAATCATAAAGGGGCCCTGCGACACTTTTTGAGCATGGTCAAAAAACGCTACCGATCGGTAGTAGAGGCCCCCTAGAACAAGCGAGCCAAATATTATAGTGCAGCACATGGCCTAGAATTTACAATAAATTATGAGTCAGCTAAAAATTACTTTCTCTTCTTCTGACAAATGACGAAAGATGCTCAAAAATCACTCGTAGAAGGCTTTCTACCAGCAATTGGCTGATTTGAATGTGCCGTGCTCGGTCCTTACAGGTATATCACCGTGGGAGGCCGCAACTTGTTCACACGTGCGCGCGCGATCACACTGACAAAGCCGCGTACATATCAGAAGAAAAAAAGAAGTGCTCAAGGTGACAAGGCACACACGACATATTTTCTTTGCCCCTGCTATCCCTCCCTGCTTAGCTTCCAACACTTTTGTCAGGATGAGAGAAAAGAGAATGCAATTGCAGCCTGTGACAAATATTTGTAAATCTGCTCATGCTGGGCCGATTCCTAAAATTTTTGCGATGCTGTTTCATGTGGCAATAATCTCTTTTAGTGAATCCATGCCATGATTACTTGTAAAAGTGTTTCATGGTCCCTTTAAGAATACTCTTAGTTGAATGCAGGGTGCCAATACTGTATCAATCGTACCACGCATCCAGAGTTTACAAATCAGTGCCAAGCATCCAAGAAAACATGAGTGGGATGAAGAAAATACATTGGAGGTTTCTGAAAGCATTCAAGTGCGGTCCACGAATTTCAGCTTAAGCTATCTACATTGCTAGACAAAAATTAATTCCTTATCAAGATCAAAGCTAAACGTGAAAAATATCAAGCTGAGAAAAATGATGTACTGTTGAGTCCCAATTATTCAGCTTTTGTGGTATCATGAGATTTCGTCGAATTATGCAAAAGGTCGAATGAACAATCTGAGTAGTGAGATATGGCTCCTCACATCACGAATCCATGTCAGCGATATCTCTTAGACAAAATAATTCTCCTGTCCTTGCAAACGGTTAATTTTGCTGTTAATTCTATCTTGGCAGTAGCATAGACCTCAGGGAGTTTTTCCAGGCTCCTTATGAGCATCACAAGTTCATGTTCCTTCACACAATGCTCCCCAAAAACCTGTTTTCTTCAGACAAAGCCAAAGTAACATGCTAAATAATCACTCTCAATCCTAATTAAAAATGTCGTGCAGAACCAAATGTGGGCACTTTTGCATACTACCTTCAGAAAACTCACAACATCATTCTGAGAATAACACCATTACAGTTGTTTTGCCATAACCGAGATAGTACTATCTCTGAAGTAAGAGTCTGTAGATAGCTTTCAAGCTTCTTATTCTTTAAAATTCAAGGAAACAAAATTCTATATTGAAATTCAAGTTTGATACAAATGGCCATACCATGCTTCATGTACTCTGCTACAATAAATATAGGACGGTGCTTGCTGCAGACACCATAGAGCTGAACCAAGTTGGGGTGTTGTAGCTTCCTGAAATGACAAAAAACAGCAGCGCGATGAAAACAGATTGCTTGAACATCGACCAAGCCCTGAGCAACCACAGAAATATGTAATAGCAGTTTTCAGATTGCTAAAATTTACTTTTGTTTTTTTCGTGCTTGCTAATGCAGTTGTGTTAAGTAATAAAAAAACTACCACAATATGTCTTGGTGTGAAGCGCACAACTTTTACCTACAGTGAACACGCTCATTGGCTTGTCTGTCTACCTCGCCAAATGCCCTTCCTCAGCGTTCAAAGTGAAAAAGCAAGGAGTGCTCCCGTGTGCTAGTAGAGGAGCACGCAAGTGCGAGCGTCTATTGATGGTGTAGGGTAGACGTGTTTTGCTCCCGCAGATGATACTATAGTGGGGCAGGAGTACACAGCTTCGCATAAAAACTATCAGTATATGCGCGAAAGGTGTGCCATTTAAGACTGCTTGCACATGTCAGCTAAAACGTCCCAGCTGATCAGGGAGGCTCTAGCAACAAAAGCTGAAATATCTTTCTTCCCAGCCATGTAAACACGCTTGCATATTAATCACAACAGAGACCAACACCAGCCCAACTTCACGACATGCCAATGGGTACTCACGTCATTAGTTTTGCTTCTTCGATAAAATCATCCTCGGACATGGTGCCTTCCTTCATCATTTTCACGGCCACATCTCGACATCCTCTCCATTTTCCTCGGCGCACCACCTATTTACACAGAAACATAAGTTTACACACATATGGTAAAACATGGTTAGATTTCCTATGTACCCACGGCTAGTTCTCTTGAATGTTGCTTTGCATAATTAAAAAAAAAAACGCATGTATTCTTAGTCTTAGCCTTCAGCAGGATCAAGATACCAGTCTCCACAGAACTAAAACACATTTAAGTGATTATTTGCGTTATGTGAAAACAAGACAATGAGGAATAGCCCATAACTGTAGAAGAAATAGCTGTACCTAGCAAGCGTGGCTCAAAACAGTCTGCATACATTATTACAATATTTTTTTTCTTCCAAGGTTACTGTGCACATTCAGTAATTGGTAAATCAACATTGTAACTATTAAAAGTGCATTATTGTAGGAAAACTAAAAGGAAAAGCAGTCTCACACTACAAGTTTTTTTATATGCCCAAGTAGAAAAGCCTCGATGAAATGGTGCTTCTGGGTTTTCAGTAATAACAGTAGTTGTATAAGCTGACTTTCCAAAGGCTTACAACATTTAATAAAAAAAGTGTACACAGTGGCTACTTACACCAAACTGCCCACTTCCAAGTTCTTCCAGAAGGGTCAGCTCGGACGGATCAATTTCCCATTTGTCTGCAGATTAACAGATGCACAAGGTTTCTACACAAGTTCCACAAATAGCCCTAATAAGAGTTCATTTATACTCGAAGGTTACAACCAGCACATTACAGACAGCCACAAAATCAAATAACACACACATTCTTGACATGAGAAGGCAGACAACATCAAAAAGGTCCAAGACTTGAAAAAAATTAAAAATGTGACCAACCAACCTTTTTTCTCGTCGTAAATCTAGCTTCCCTGCAATGCAACTAGCCCACCTAATGGTGACTAGTGACTTACTGGAAACAGGGTATTCAAGTGCAGTCTGATTGCGCTAAGATGTGAAAAATCTAGACTCAGCTCACTTGACATAAACATGCGCAACAAGCAAGCCCTGACACGTGCAACTAGGATTTCTACACGAAGGACGACAAGTGCCGCCATTAGTCGGGCAAATATGCAGCGCAGGGCGGCGCACTTGCGGTTTTTAAAAGGGTTTTTGTAAGCAAGAGGACAGAATGTTGCGGTTTTGTAATCTGTTGGTGTGCAGTGGAATGCAGAGGTTCGATTTTCTACAAACAATATACTCCACATACATACAATCAAGCAATCCAATCCATTTATTGGAAACAAATTTTTTAACACTGTTCACCATTCCAATGTAGATGTGTTGATTCAGCACTGGAATCAGAGCAGTGAAATGTGTCATCTGCAAATAACATCAAATACAAAGTGCATGCGTGTATGTGTGTGCACACGCGTCTGTGCGTGTGCACGCGTGCGAGAGATTGACTTCATAAAGACTATATAAACTATGGCCAATCAGCATGAAAAAAAATAAAAAAAAGCAAAAATTACCATCCTCTTCACTTGTTCTTCCTCTCCCCACTTTTTCTAGTTTCTTCTTCGATAAACAACTCATTATCTAAATCGCCTGTACTGAAGAGTTTGAACCAACCGCTATATTAAAGAGTACATAATCTTTGATCAAGTGTACGGACATCGCATCAACATATTAAGTTATCCAGAGCAATGCAACTGTCAAAATATCCCACCCCGATAGCTGGCAAATAATGAAATGTATGACCAACCATGGCCAAGGCCAGCAGTGGGAGCAGTGCGGCGCAGCTGTGCGGGCCAGTGGCGCAACCTCGTGGCAAGCCCTCCGCTGTCATGGCGATGGTATCGCACCAGATCCTCGAGGGAGGGAAAAGTGCGACGCTCAGAGAGGTACAGCTGGCCACCGGCCCGGCTCTTGATGTGGTAGTGCTTCACTTGAAACACACCGTTGGGACTGCATGGACAAAAAGTGTGGCATGACTGCCGTCTCTATTCGAGAGATTTCATGGGACGCCAAGTAAAGCGATGAGTCAGTTTAAATTGGTAAAGCATGCTTTAAAATGTCGTGACTTTCACCTTCCTCAGTTAATTGATGGACCAAAAATCACGGTCAAAGTATCTCTTATTTATTTTGCACCAAAACCTCTGCGCATGACATGACGAATTTCAATGTCTACTTTTTGTATTTTAGCGACTCTAGCTCAACAAAATTTCCTGAAGCATGGCATGCCAAATTTCTGGCCCAGTTAGAAAATAATCTGCTCCATTTTTACCAATTATCAACTACACAGGGCCTAGAAGATACCGTCAAAATGTATGTCACTATGGAGATAGATGTGTGAACTTCAATGAGTGTCGCCACCCGCTTTCTGTTTCTGCGAGTCTTCTTGCTTACCAAATGTCTTCTCACAGCAACCTTGGTGATTTTGGTACATTTAAAGGATAATTTACTAATATGAGCAAAATCTTTTTCCTCTTTATTGTCCACTTAAAAGCTTGATTTATCCAGAGCTCAGTCAGGTGTCCCAGGGTTATACAAATTACTATTCTTTCCAACGTATCCCAAGTCAAATTTAGGATACCACCCAGCATTATATTATATCAAAACACCAAGTTTCACTTTTCTGCTGGTGAATGCTTTTCAGGTGATTATCGTCTAACCAAACATGAGGTGCATCTTGCTCAGCACAAGATGCAAAGCTTTAGCACACTATTTATGCGTGTATAAGACAGGACATGTATAGCAGACAAACTTGACCTGTAAATCTTAGATACAACGACCAACTGCTTCAGCCATTTATGGTTTGAACATTGCTTGTCTTTCTGGGCACAAGTTTTCCCAATAAATAGCTGGATACTCAATATGCATTAATGAGTGTTTCATTCTTCTTGTCTCTACAAGAAGGCGATATGAACGTTCCCAACTTTCCAGATGAAACTACATGCACAAACAAAATTGTACATGCACATGAACTGTGGCAAACATACACTCGTTGCTGACTTGCACAAGTAGGAAAAATGACAGAGCTTCAGCTTTCTGATGGCACTATTCTAGTCAAACACAAGGTCCAAGTAGGCAGTTTTGTTTATTTTTTTATTTATCCCAATTTCATTTTCATAAACGAACACATTTATAAAATGAATGGGTTGGAAAATATGCCCTATCTTGCAAACATATTGAGTATAGTACTAACTCAACCAAACATTTCAATTTAGCAAGCCCATACATACTGCACAGTGGACAAACCATAATAAACCAAGATATGACAGTCTAGCACATCATAGATGAGGGCTCCAAAAATCCCAATAATCTAATGTTCTTTAACAGGCAATGAAGTCGCACAGTGCTAGAGCTTTTAGCATTTTGTGTCCGTCGAAATGCGACCGCCATGGCCGGGATCATACCCGCGACTTTTTGGTTCGCAGCCGAGCATCTTAACTGCAACCTCACCGTGACAAACTACGTTTATGTAGTTCGGCTCACCTGTTTGCCAGGAGGGACAGTGTGAACAGGCCTTGGGTGGATGAGTTTCGAATCACGAAGGCTCCCTCCTTCGTTTCCTGGCGCAGTATTTGTTCGGCCCGCTGTCTGGACATGTCGCCCGCATACCATCTGCGAGACACGTGACTGCGTTCAGGTAGTCTTAGACATGAGACGATGTTGAATCTTCCGAAAAAATTATGCAGTAAATAACTAGACTTGCATTCTTACTGGATACGACACTTGCTTCGTGCAAAGAACAAACTGCAGTGCGCCACTCACTCATGTTGCCAGAGGCCCGCCTTCTCCTCCACGTAGTTGCTCGGGATAAAGCCCACAGCCCTGTGTGTTAAAAGTGACAAGACAAGCGAAATAGCATTAAGTTTAGCTAAGCGAGCAGAAAAAATCCTTGCATATCAAAAAAGATACAGTTGCTAACAATGAATGTACATATGTTTAGACTGCCCAGAAAGGAAAAAAAAAAAAAAACTTCAGAAAGGTTCCCCAACTCTATTGAATGCATTGCAAGTGCTCCGAGATGAAGGCAAGTAATGAACAAAGGGAAAAATGCATCGCAACACAAAGATGCTAATGCAGGCAAGCTTTCCAAAGTGGTACCAGGGACTCCCCCAAGTTTGGTGTTCTTTCATCTGTCAATAAATCTTTCCTTTTTATTTTTAAATTCTCTTTCTTGACTATTGACTTGAAGACTATGAAAGACTATCAGCTTTATATGAGAAAGAAGTTCAGCCCAATATTAATGACATAAATCGCACTGAGAAAACTAATGATAAAACGAAGTAGCTCAAATATATACATATATATAAAAGAAGAGATAAGATATAAGAAAAGTGGGTGAAAAGATAACTCGCCGTGGGCAGGATCCAGTTGTTAATAGGTTCACGTGCTATGTGACGCCAAAGAGGCTCATAAAGAGTGTGCCACACTCGCCGCCATGGCTACTAGTGGCGCTGACTGACACTCCCACGTTCAAATTGACATAGATACCCAATAAAGTGGCTGGGGGGATAGCAGTCATGGTAGCTCAGTGGTAGAGCATCGAACGCGTTATTCGAAGGTCGCAGGTTCGGATCCTGCCCACGGCGAGTTATCTTTTCACCCACTTTTCTTTCTTCTCATTTACATTACAATTGGCCTAATAACTTCCCTATACCTTCCTTTGCATTATTGTCTGTTAGATCTCATTAATATTGTGTAAACACGAAAAACGAGCCCTTAAGTATACACTTATATATATATATATATATATATATAGATATATATATATTGCCACGTTCCATTTCTCAAGTTTTGTTATCGCCCCAATACACTACACAATTCTCAGCGCAAACCACGCCTGCAGTTTTCGAGAAGCTTCAGGACTGTAGGCGCGGTTATATATATATATATATATATATATATATATATATATATATATATATATATATATATATATATATATAAAATCGCGCCTACAGTATGAATGTTCAGTCATATATATATATATATGACTGAACACTCATACGTCTAAAAACCATGCAGAATGTAGCAGAGGTGTGATTGTCACGCCATCCACACACAAGCATCTAAAATTCAATAGTAGAGCACTTTTCTAATTTTGTAGTATTTTCATAATGTTATGGGCTGCTTACACATCTCTGCCCATTCACGATTGTGGTGATAATACAAAAGTTTGCACAAACACTTTTCAAAGTATGTGTATGCAATACAATCATTAATTCAAGCTTGTAATTTCTAAAACATAACACATCTATGCTTAACAAATCAACCTATTTTGCACAATGTGTGTGAAATCAAAACAATCAGTGTTATAACTACTCTAAAGAGCTTTGCAGTGTTAAAAAAAACAAGACAAATAATTAGATACTTCATGGTGCCTTTTAAGACAGAAACTAAGCAAATCAGTGTTTCTAAATATGTGAAATGTCATTTTATGTGTCATACCACTCAAAGAAAACTACTGGGCTACAAAAAAATGCTTTATACTTAAAAAACAAACACACAGGAGCACACTAATGATTTGAAAGTGTGGATACACTTAATTAACAGAAATAAAGTGAACAACTTTTAAAAAATTTTTCCCCTCTCAATATCTATATATAAGTAATTTACTAAGGGTTTTCATTAGGAACAATAATTGATAATCAAAAAATAAAACATGGGAATTTGCATTTTTTCATGGTAACTCGTTTTAATTTTTGTTATTTGTAAGTCATGCTGTTATTATCTATAGAAAAAAAATTCAGCTGCAATAACATATAAGCAGCCAGCCTACCTACTTCGATAATTTTCTTTTGCTCGTACTTCCAATTATCTGTGAGGAAGCTTAGTAGTAGTAGTAGTAGTAGTAGTAGTAGTAATAATAATAATAATAATAATAATAATAATAATAATAATAATAATAATAATAATAATAATAATAATAATAATAATAATAATAATAATAATAATAATAATAATAATAATCAGCTTCACACTTACGCATCCTTCTCTGCATGCAGCAAAGGAAAAAAATCAGAAACACGGTGGGCACATGAGATGCAAGCAATGACAAAAAACAAATATTCTATGGTTTCCAGTGGAAAGCAGAGCACAAAGAAAGAGAAGCCATCTTACCCATTCTTGTCTTTAACCTGCCACCAATGCTCTGCAGTGTCATCCAGTACAATGTACTCTTTGCCCTAGAAAACAGTTTGTATCAGCTCAGGCAAAAACACAAAGCATTGTCAATGAAATTACACTGTATGAGTGTACATTAAAGGGGCCCTGCAACACTTTTTGTTTGAGCATCGTCAAAAAACACTCCCAATCAGTAGTCGAGGCTCCATGGAACACGCGAGCCAAATGTTATAGCGCAGCATGCGGCCTCGCATTTACAGTACATTCTTAAAGTCAGCTCAACCTAGCTTTCTATTCTTCTAACAAATAACGATACAGACTCAAGAATCACTGTGCCCCAGCCATTATATCAGCCAATGGCTGATTTGAGCCTGGCGCGCTTGGTCATTACTAGGGCCGCCGCAGGAGGCCACGACTTGTCCAAACGTGCCAGCGTGAAAACACTGAAAAACCGCGCATTCAAAGAAAAAAAAAGAGAAAGAGCACTTAAGGTGACAAGGCATGTGGGATGCATTTCCTTCCCTCATGCCATCCCTTCCTTTTTAGCTTCCAGCTTTTTCGTTGGGACGAGAGAACTGAAAATGCAATTGCAGCATGCGACAAATCTCTAACTTCGCTCGTACCGGACGGATTCTAAAACTTTTTGCAACTGTGAATTGGTGAGGCGATAAGCTCATTTACTGAATCCATTCCATTGCTACTGGGAAAAGTGTTGCAGGACCCTTTAACTGTCAAAAGGGTTTAAACAAGGCTTTTAAGAACATAAGCAGACATGTTGAACCCTTCTTTTTTTTTAATTAGAAAGTAAATAATGCATGCACATGACACTTGAAAGGATGTAAGTAGTCACTTACAGCTTCTAATGAGAGATCTCCTTTTTCAATGGCTTGGAATGAATACAGTGCTGTCACCACCTTTGTAGACACAGCACTCTAACAATAAAAGAGAAAGACCAGCCTTAAGTGAGCGTATAAAAGCAGAGGCAAGTCAGTGACTATAAGGAGGTAATGGAATGCTTTGCAAAGTCTACTACAACATGTCCAAACAACACAGCACTCAAACCTTAATAGGCAGTATGTCCTTGCTCCTTGTAGGTGCTGGATCACTGCATGTGATGCTACCTGCACAAACATAAAAAAGGGAGTTTGAAAAAATTACAAATAATGTTGTTTGGGCCCGTATACCCTAGGGATCAATCGCAAATTGTTGACAGGCTCTGTGACAACGTACATTAGTTTACAATGTCATTTCTAGAAGCTAATCTACACAAGTTTGAGCTTCTGGTGGTAATGCGAGCATCCAGTCTGCGAGAGAAGAGATTGTAAGTACTCATCAGTCCATGCTCTGCAAGTTTACTAAATAGTTTGCAAAAGTGCTGAATGAACGTGAAGTGATGTGCACAACCTGATGTCCCTTGATGTCAGTCTATGCATACCATCTATGCCCATGGCACCAGTGCTCATACATTGCGTGATACGAGAACCATACCTTTTCCCTGCATTTTCCATCTATTTACTTCACATGAAAGGACATCTCTTTCAAGGATGCTAAGCACATTAGTCAGATCAGTGGAAGCAGACATAATAGATATCAACTTGTGTCTGTGTACACTTCTTTTCAGAATTACTTTTTACATGGCTGAGCAGACAGGATGCAGGACGTTAACGAAAACAAGATCGCATCAATGATGTGATGATTGGGATGAAAAAGTTCAAGGTTACGTCACAATAGGGTGACAGTATCACCAAAGTGACAGAATGGCAACAGATCCTCTGACCAGACAAACAGCTTACCCCTAGAGTTGAGGGACTCTGCACTATGTGGTGAGGTGACCCACGTGCTTCGACAACCAGGGGAACTGCGAGAGCCACGGCCACAGCAGCCCCAACGGCCACCAGACCAGACACCCGAGTGGAACTTATCAGCCAGCTGCTCATTGTTTGCACATACTGAAAATGCAGAGCAAAGTAAAAAACTCAACACCACGCAACTTCTTCAAACCACCCGAACTACTATTCCATCAGTTTGAGGACCAATGGAGTCTATTCCCAAACACACTGAAATCAAGATAAGGACAACCTAACGAAAAGTCGCTAGCTTCGGAGCCGGCCTAACAATCACCCCTGAAGAAGTGAATGAATCGGTCCCAAAACGTCAAGTCAGTTTTTCATTTTAATATTAGAAACTGTGAACTAAAAGTGGTTGGAGAATTTATTTTATTGGTACACCACTGAGCTTGTGATGCATTTATTTATTTATTTATTTATTTATTTATTTATTTATTTATTTATTTATTACAAGTACCTCCATCGCCCATTGGGCATTGTTGTAGGGGGGTTACAGAAAATAGAATACAAAACAGCAAAATTAAAAGCAAATAAATCGTGCATAACAGTATACAGGAGAAATCAACACTTGTAGTACAGCATTAGAACAAAAGTACAAAACACAGGATTATACAATGAAAGAAGTAATTATACATATAAAAAATCAACAACCAAGAGAAGTACAAAGCCAACGTTAAATATATGGGTTATTTCAGCAGCTCAAAATGCTGTTTCAATGGCTGTTAGGAAATTAGAATCAGAGAATATTGGTATTTTTTGCGCATTCCAGTCACTAATAGAATTTGGAAAGAAAGAGTATTTAAGGACATTCAATCGACAGGTATATCCTCTAATTTTATATAAGTGATCTTTCCGTTCGGACATATAACTAGGCGTCTTTAAATACCGCTCTTTATTTAGCCCAGTCTTACCGTGATATATATTATAGAGAAATTTAAGTCTTTGAACTTTCCGTCGTCCACAAAGGGGTTCCCATCCCAAGGCCTGTAGAATCCCAGAAGACCTTATTCTAAAATCGTAGTTTCCTGTAACAAACCTAACAGCCCTTTTTTGCACCCTCTCCAACTTTTCTTTTAGTACATTCGTGAAAGGGTCCCAAGAAACACAAGCATACTCTAAAATTGGGCGCACATTTGTAATATACAGGGTTTCCTTGAGTGTTTGCGGCGCGTCGCTGAAATTTCTTTGGAAAAAATGAATTAAGCGCGAAGCCTTGGCTGTGATTAGATCTACGTGACTGGTCCAATCTAGTGTTGCCGTGAATGTTACGCCGAGATACTTAACTTGATCTACCTTTTGTACTGCGCAGGAATTTAAGTAATAAGACCTGGATACTACCTTTTTTTTGTTATTAAATTGCACATGAAAACATTTAGTTAGGTTCAAACTCATTTGCCACTGAGCACACCAAGACACAATCTTATCGAGGTCAGACTGAAGTACTGTGGTGTCATCAAAACACTTGACTGGGCAATACAAAACACAATCATCAGCATAAAGCCTCACTGTTGATTTCAATCCCAGTGGAAAATCATTGATAAAAATCAAAAACAGAAGCGGCCCCAGGACCGACCCCTGTGGCACCCCGGACAGTACATCAGCTGTTGATGAAGACACACCATTTATCACAACACATTGCTTGCGGCCGCTGAGATAATCCTTAATCCAGTCTATGAGGGTTTTAGGAATACCAAGAAATGACAACTTATAAAGCAAAAGACTGTGGGGGACGACATCAAAAGCTTTTTTGAAGTCCAAAAATACAGCCTCCAATTGAATTCCCTGGTCGAATGATGAAGCGATGTCATGTACGAATTCGGTTAGCTGTGTAACACACGGAAGGCCTGCGCGAAAGCCATGTTGAGACGGAGTGAAAAAATTATTATCTTGAAGGTGTTTTATAAGGCAAGAATAGATTATGTGTTCCAGTGTCTTGCAACAAACGGGGGTTAGCGATACCGGTCTATAGTTAGATACATTATCACGGACGCCGGATTTGTGCAAAGGCGTGATATTGGCTAACTTCCACTCTCGTGGCAATTTTCCACACCTTATCGATACTTCATACAAAGCAGCTAGAAATGGAGCTATATGATCAGCACATCGTTTTAGTATGTGGTTTGAAATACCGTCGGGACCATGCGCAGACTGGAGATCCAGCCTATTCAAATGTTTTCTTATACCTGATTCAGTTATTATGATATCATTCATAGCTGGTAACGATCTGAGTGTCGTAACGGAAGATATCGGGCTTGGCGGAGAAAAAACGGATTGAAAATACGCATTGAAGCATTCTGCTCTACTCATATCATCTCTAAGTAGTTCGTCATTGTGCATGATAAAGGGAATTCCACAGATGTCTTTTTTGTTACTTTTAACGTAACGCCAGACTTCCTTTGGATTTGTTTTGATTTTGCTATTAAGGGACGATAAATATTCGCGCTTCGCCAGCTTTATCTGTGTCTTCAGGCTAGAGCCTAATGCTTTAACCTTACTAAATAAATCAGCACTGCGCGTGCGACAATAATTTCTGTACACCCGAGCCTTACGCTTAATTGACGCACGTATATCTTTAGTGATCCAAGGTTTATCACCACGACGATTGGCAGTTACAATTTTCGATGGGACATAAATGTTTACCAGAGACAACAGTTTTTCTTTAAACAACCCCCACAATATTTCAATGTCATTGGACTGACAGCATTGGATAAACATCGGAAGGTATGTATCCAGTTCAAAATTGATGGCATCAAACCTGCCTCTATCATATGCGAAAACTTTTAGTGAACGAGGTCTACTGATTTCTATCTTTTTCGACTCTATGATAGCCGCAACGACATCGTGGTCACTTATGCCTGGAATTGGATCAACCGACTTCATTAAATTGTTACGATTCATAAAAAGAAGGTCCAGGACACTATCACTTGCCGAACCCAGTCGTGTTGGAAACTGAACAAACTGGAAAAGGTCATAAACTCTGGTAAGCTCGAAAAAGGCAGAATGAAGTGTTGACCGACTATTTTCAACTGGACGAAAATTGCACCATTCGACATTGGACATTTTAAAATCACCCGCCAGCATAATTGGTTCGGAGGAAAGAGCCGAAATGGTTTTAGACAAACTAAATAAAGGTAACACACTAGAGTTACCAGGAGGCCGATAAAAGGATCCTAAAACTAAACCGCATCTATTCAAGTATGGTCAGTTACGTTCAGCATGAGCTTCAATGAGAGTGATCTAGACAAATTATGTGTCCATTATTAAAATCAAGTGATGAACAGAAAAGCAACTGTCCTTAGGGTATTTTTTCCTATTTTATTATATATTTACGAGCACCTGTTTGAACCCACATTGACAGCAGCACTAACAAAAAAGAATTGCAAGCATTTTAGCATGAATACTGTTAAACATGCAGCTTACAAGAAAACCGGCAAATAGCGACCATTACAGTACCACATGCTTGAAAATAGGACTCCTGCCTATGCACATGAACTGCACTTCCCTCTTCCCCTTCAATATAATGAAGAAAGTGGCACCTGCAAAAATCATTTGACTAATGATTGGCCTTGAGGAGAATTTCACAAAATAATAGTTTAACAGCCAGTCTTTAATGCCTCACATGAAATTCTGCTGACATACAAGAGTTTATTTTTCAGATGTACAAAACTAACAAAGTGATGGTTACACTGAGCAACATACTGGGGAGCAATAAAATTAAAGCAAGCAGTACAGGATGTGCATTCAACACAGTACTGACATTTTTCACATGCTCATTTAATGTTCAAACATTAACAAATGCTTTACAATCTTTTAACATATCCCAATGAATCATGGCCATCGCACTATCAAGTTATCCTTCCCTTGAAACTGGTTAAAAGAAGAGCATGAATGGTTATGCTTCCATGAGGATATAAAAGCATCAAGCAAGTCATCACACAATTGGCTTGTTGTAATATTTCTATTTTCCTTAGTCTGTTTGGTACTGGCCTTTTTTGTTTATGGGCCTACACAAGCAGAAACACAACAAAACAACGAAAACAAGATACTTCTTTTATGCAAGTACAAAGCCGCACACACTACTCACATTTCCTCAAAGCACCTATCCATTCTTCTCGTTGCGCTTCAGATGATGCCACAATGTACATAAAGCGATCTTTGTAGCCAATCTAAACAGCAGATGAAAGGGAAAAATTAAATTGGGTTGCTACTTCAGTCAAAGGCTGCCCTGTAAACATGTGTGACAAATGATTGGCAGATGCAAATTACATGCCTGAAATGCCTTTTCCCTCTCAAGCGCTCCATCATCAACACGCTCTACAAGTCGCACTGTGCGCAGATCCAAGCGTCCTTTTTCTTTGCCCTGCCGTAAACAAAAATTAGAAAGCAATAAAAGAGGAAGAATCATGATGTAAAGTAGAAACATTGTTTCTATGACTTTCAATGGAAATATCAATATGTGAAACTAAAGACCATCAGATCTTTGAGGAAAACACACAGTATTCAGGCAACTGTTAAGTTTCTTATATGTATGTGTCATAATGAGTATAAAATATATATTTATGTGACATATGCATGAAGACGCAACAAGACATGGCATAGAAAAACGAAGAGTACTTGCATCTGGCTTTCCGTCATGATACCGCAGGCAGGCCTTGGTGAGCACAAACCAACGTGACTTGTAGTTGACAGACTTGAGTCGACTATTGCTTTGGGAGCGCTTGAGCATAGGTGCCTGAAGCACCGCCTCCTCATTTATAGACGCCATTTTCATCATAAGTGTAAAGACCCTGAGAACTGGAAGCAATATATTTATTTACAAGAGTAGATGATGGGGACACATGACGCATTGGCAAGTTTTCAAACATTTTCTATGTGTTCAAGAAACGTCACTAAACGAGTGCATGTAAAATTGCAATATAATCACACAGGTACACCGCAGCTTATAACCCAAACTGGAATCGCAATAACGAAGAAATCTGGGAATTCCTGTTTCAGATTATAGCTAGCAATCAGACTTCATTTGCATATTCCTCGAATTTATGGGTTTAATCTGTGAATTGAAATATTGACCGGTTTTTCGGCAAGACCTCCGAAGCAGATTTCGCGCTCGCATCAAATCCGCCCTCTTTCTTTCGAGCAAGAAGCTCGTGCCCGCACGAAATGCAGTTCATGGGCGTTTCTCGATTTCGCCCAAGTCGCGGAATGCGCTTTGTATTTCACTTTCGCTCGACTTTCTATGTCCGGCAGAACAGCCGCTACGTGGTGCGGCAGATGCCGCACGAGACAGTACAGAAAGCCAGCAGAATAACCGGAAACACGCACGGTGTTAAAGCGCGCGCTAGAGCATTCCGTTCCTCAGTCGTGCATAAGTTAACGGTTCCACCGAGCCATCCTACACAGAAGACCACGCGCCAGGAAATACGATACGACACGTCGCGAATACTACAGTTTCGCGATCTGCTGGCACTGCAGGTAAATTCCAGTGCGCCCAAACCCTCCTTAGCCAAACGTTACCGAAACCGTCGGTGATGTCACGGCGTGCGACAGACCAAAACAAATACGATTACCCTAATTTCTATATAAAGTAAGTCGCAGTTCCTAGTGCATTTGCTGGTCATCGAGAATGTGCACACGTAACGCAGCAGAGACAATTTCGGCACATCGATACAAAAGAAGCAACTCGGTCGAAACAAATACATGGGCGAAATTCCGAATGAAGGATCACTTGAATAGCGAAGTGAAGCCAAAGGTGCAACTCACAGCTGTTTTGTGCGCGGGTGACGATGTAAATCCCACGCCTTGCATAGCGGATGCGCTCACACTTTGACACACGATGTTGTTGGGCGTAGTAAGAAGCACTGTGCACATATTCGACAGATTGTTACGAGGAACACTGTCTCGCAGTTGCAGCCATCACGCTGCCTGTGGTCAGCCAGCTTAGCCCGTCTGACTGGTGGAGGAGACGGAGGAGAATGTCTCTGGCCTCCTTGCACTCTCTCAGAAAACGGAAATTCCTCGAAGTAAACGTAACAACTTCCTGTTACACTTTCTGGGAGCCGGCGGTGGTGTTCAAGGTGGTCATTTGTATCGCGACTGCAGCAGGTACGTTGTATATGTGATGCTCGTGTTTCCGACCGACCGCGATTTTGTTGTGGCGCGTAAGTGCTCAGGCAAATGACGGGGCCGGGTCCGGCCGAGCTTGACACTGCGGATCGTGCTGCCGGTTTAGCGTTCGCTCTCGATAAAGGTCGCTATCTCGTCGGCTGCCTTCCCAGATTCGAAAGGAAAGTTTGCATACACTCGCGTTCTATTTTTCTCTAGGATGAAGACCGTGCTCATCACTGGAGCCTCTGGTTTGCTAGGGAGGTCCCTGGTTAAAGCATTTCAGGGCGCCTCTTGGAACGTCACCGGTCTCGCTCACAGCAGGGCTTCGGGGGACTTGCTTAACGTGGACCTTACTGACCGCCAGCAAACAGAAAAAATCGTGAAGGAAAGAAAGGTAATAGTTTATAGCATTGCCCCATTGTGCGCATTTTCTCTTGCGCTGTACTTCCTGTGTACGTACGTAATATCAGTGGGAGTGCTTGCATTTACTTCCAGCCAAACGTCATCGTGCATTCAGCTGCTCAGCGGTTTCCTGACAAGGTTGAGAAAGATTACGACGCCAGCTACGCGCTTAACGTCACTGCATCCAAAGATCTAGCAGTTGTAGCCGGTAAGTTTGCCGTGCACGGGCACGCGCGTGTCTTGTATCAAGAAAGGGGAACAGAAAAAAAGAATCAAGGCGGTAAGTCGATATTACGGCGGTTTACGGGCACATTTGACTTTCAGATTCCGTGGGAGCCGTGTTCATCTTCATAAGCACAGATTATGTGTTTGATGGACGGAACCCGCCCTACTCCGAGGACGCGAAGCCCAACCCTTTGAACAAGTACGGCACGACTAAAGCAGAGGCCGAGAAAGCAGTGCTCACTGCGAAATCAGGTCGGTTCTTGACCCACGGATGCGTTATTATACGGAATAAGACTGGCTGTCCACTAAAGAGCGCATTCGCTTTTCCGATTCAACGTGCAGACTCAATTGTGCTGCGCGTGCCCGTGCTGTACGGTGGGGAGGAGTACGCGTCGGAGAGTGCCGTGTCCGTCTTGTGCCAGCTGCTGAACGACCGCTCGAAGCACGTGAAGGCGTCGGATTTCGAGATCCGCTACCCTTCTCACACGGAGGACATTGCGTACATCGTTGTCCAGCTCGCCGAGCGTCGATTACAGGTATTATGCCGCATGTACGGATACACAAAAGGGGATCTGGGCAGATTCGCTTTCGTTGTACCTCGAAGGCAATGACTGTGAACATCCGTAAATATTATTAGAGGCTCTGCACCATATCCAAGCTTGATGCGCACGTAACTTCTACGACCGTTTAAAGTTTGCTCAGCGGCTGGCTTCTGCCACCGTCCATTTCTTTATTTCCTCGCTACACTTGGGTCATTCGTTGTCTTTCGCGCAGAAAACGCTGCGTCTGTCAAGAGCCACAAAGTCAAGAGACAAAATAGCGCGGTGTTTTATCTTGTCTGTGTTGCGCTGTTGTGCATTTAATTTGGAAGACGCATCTGTTTCGAAACGCACCACTTGCGCTTTCACTATCTCATTACATCGTTCAAAAAGTGCTTAACCATCATGGAGCACTTATACGCACTCACACATGCGTTACTCGTTATGATGCATGCGTCGACCCACTTATCTCGAGAAAGCGATGGTCTTGATTCAGTGGTTTTAAGGAGTTGTGTTAGTATATGGCCGCGCGTATCGTTGTCATGATAAAATAACCACTATCAATGCCCACGCTCGTCGTCATTAAAGAGAGAGGGAGAGTGAAACGGGCTTCCCCTCATAAGCCTTCTTGTTGCGGAGAAGCCAACTTTGACGGACGCCTTACTGGAAATCGCAGATGCGCGCTAGATAGCTTTTGAATCATCACCGAAAGCAGGCATGCGTGTGCCCGTTAAAGAACTCGAATGCGTGAAAGTAAATCAATGCGCAGTGTGTGCACATCATCAGTGTGCTCTAAACAAACGCATCGTATATGCGGGCAGTATGCCCGTTTTTCTCGTTGACGAGAACATTCATTATGTTCACCGTGTACACATCTTCCGAAATTTACCGATCATGTACACTCTTTCCGAACATTGGCTACATGATTACAAATTAAGCTGTACCTGCATACGTACGCAGGTGGCCATAGGTCATTCGTATAGAGGTTGATTTCTCTACAACGCTGTGGTGCCTCTTCAAACGTGCAACAAGACTGTCTTCGGCGTCAACTCGAGTGGTGCAAGAAATCGTGGCATAATGACGTCACATCAAAATTTGTGACGTTATCGTGACGTCATCACATGCAAGGATGGGCCAATGACGGAGGCACTGCAAGAACCACGTGAGGTGTTGAAGGCTTTGGGGCGGGATCACTACAATTGAGTTAGAGGAACAAGAAGTGCCTTTAGGTCGCCTTAGGCAAGTGTATATAGAACCATGTCACTTTTTTCCTTGTTTTGTCCCCCCCCCCTTTTTTTTATTTGGGGGGGGGGGAAGGAAGGGTTGTACTGACTGCAGCGTTCATGTTATCGAGATGTAGCTCATTTAGCATGCCCCCCCCCCCCCTCCCTTCCTTCACTCAATCTGCAGTTTTGTGCTCTCATTTGCAGGAGCGTAGCGTGAGCGGCGTGTACCAATGGTGCGGCCTAGAGCCTCTGACCAAGTACGGCATGGTGCGCGCCATCGGCCAGGCTCATGGGCTCAACACCGACCACGTGTCTCCGGATCCTGAGCCCAGCAGCGGGGCCCCGAGGCCCCGAGACTGCCGGCTCGAGCACACCAGGCTGGAGAAGCTCGGCATCGCCCGCCACACGCCTTTCGCCGAGGGTGTCGCTGGCTTCGCAAAGTTCCTGCAGCCCGTCAGCGCCGCCGAGCAGCACGCCGTGTAACGAATTCGATCGCCGCCATGTTTTTCTTTCACTCGTGCGACATCGGTGTTTCGATGGTCACGTTGGTGAGATAGCAGGGATTATACTATAGAGAGCTTCTAATGCAGGGGTCGACGATATGCACAAGACTGAATTATAAAACACACCAAAGGCGCTGTGTGTTGATCCTGGCTGTTCATTGATCCTGGCTACGACTATAAGCTGGCTAGTGTAGCGAAAAGGGCGGTATGGGAAGTGGGGACTGGCTGAAAAAAAGCGATACTTCGGACAGTGACAAAATTTCCCTCCCGTACACTCTAAGAAAATTGAGAAAAATACTTTTTTTTCCTCCTCTATAACTTATATATATATATAACACTATTTCAAGAGACACGCTAATCTCTTCCGGGGAGTGCAGAACGTTCAGGATGGAAATCAATATTGCCTTCCTGCGTGCTTCGTCCTCATGAGTTTACTCTTCGAAAGCGTCGTGGTGCGCATAGCATTATTTCTCTATGATAGCATTACAGGTGGAAGTGCGTGCGCGCACGTGCGCCAGAACTCTGCATTCGCGGGCAAGCGCCACGTGAGGTGCGAGACGTCTGCGTCGACAACACTTGCATCGTGCTCAACAGCTCACGAATGTTTTATCGCTCGTTATGAGTTTCGCCTGTGGTTTGTTGGCTGTGCCCAGCAACGGTCTATATACTTCGTCGCGTGTGTAAGCCGTGTGTGTGTGTGTCACTAAATTTCTTGTGTATGGTTCATTCCTGATTTGTAAGGTCGAAGCCCTTCCTACAGAAACGTTTGCCTAGGCATGGAATCCATTAATGTTCGTGTGCAAAGATCCTATTGACGAGTCTGAAAGCGATAAGCGATACCGGTTTCTTATAAATCCTGCGTTTCCGTAAGTGCGCAGAAAACGGGTCATTCGACTGCGCACGGAACGCTTTACTGGCGAGGGGGATGGCGAAGCTCAGTTCATAAATGTCTTTTTTTTTTCTTTACGGGTATTCGTCTAAATTCTGTCTGGGGGTATAAGTAACCCTATATCCTTGTTGAAAATAGTGCACTTCAATAAGTTGAAGTTGTTTCCGCGCTCTTAAGATGTGGACAACGCGTTATAATGCAGAAAAATTGTCAACTTCTTAAGGACTTGCACCATTCAAATTACAGTGTAATCATCTTCTGGACTGCCAAAAGTTTAGCCAGGAATCGGGACGAGTAAGCATAATAGCAACAGGTCACCTTGTCATCACATCAGCCGTGGCACCATATTCGTGTCTCTACAAGGAATCTGCGGCCTGCTACACGACTAAAGAGTTGTATGCACACGGGACGAGTCCAAAGATGTTACAGCTGAAAAAAATGGATCACGCGTAACTGGTGCTTGCTTACTGAGCCTATTACGCCGTCATTACGGGTTTGCGCTTTTTTTTTACAGCATAAAATCCTGCCCCATCACTTTTTGCGCCTTTTATGCTCATTCGATGACAGTGTAATAAAAAAAGACAGTTTCGGCACAAGGTCGAAGCAATGAATGCGATAGCAACACATCGGGGTGTTATACGAAGTATTGCTAGGATATTTAAGAACCACACGAAATGTAGCGAACATGGTCGATTGTGCTTGAATCGACAGTAATGCAGTAACCATAGTATCTAAACAGGTGTTGTGAATAGTTGACTGCGTATTGTCGGACAAGAGGCGAAGTCCAAGTTCGGCATCGAGAAACGTGGCAAGCCACCGGTTTTCACGTCGAAGTACATTAACGTTGAAGTCTCCGGTGACTCACCGGTGCATCCTGGAGGCACGCTGCACGGAAGTTGTGCAGCAAGACGTTCATGAAGTCAGTCCGCAAGGTTCCTGGTGAAATGTACACTGCTGTAACGACGAAGGCGTACTATATGTTTTAACGGCGCAAGCATCACTGCGACTCATCTGGTGCAGCCAGTTGAGTTTGTCTGTGTAGAGTGATAGTGGCGGTGCGCATTTCGATGGGAACCGAATTCACAGGCATGACAGAACAAGCGACTTCCCGAATAGTGCTGGACTTGATGCGAGCAATTTTCCTGTAGCTTCAGAATGAAAATCTTGTTGGTTAATTCAGTGCGCTGAGGAGCAAGAGGTCGCCGGTTAGAATCCTCGGTGGGTGCCTTGGAATTTTTCCTTCTGATTTATGATTTATTTTCATTAGTGCGTTATATATATATATATATATATATATATATATATATATATATATATATATATATATATATATATATATTGTGGTGAAGCCCTCGAACAGTGGGTCGTCCTCTCCAGCGCCTTCTAGTGGGTTGCCCTTTTTAGCAAGAAGAAGAGCAGCTCGTGCAGAGAGTCGGTACCCGCATTGACTGTCACTGTCAAGCATCGTCGACAACCGTCCGCCAATAAACGTCTCAACAATTTGGTATCAGCAGCCGGCTCGCCCATCGCGTTCTTCGACATGGATGGGACCCACGAACCGATGGCGCACTGCGGACAATCGCCCCATCTGCTTTGCTTGTGGTTGCGTCGGGCACGTAGCACGCTACTGCAATCGTGTGCAGCGACCGCAAGTCGCCTCCGATTTTCCCAGCCAATCGAGCCGCTTCTATGACCAACCGCCACCTACGTCACCGTCGTCCCGCCCCGCTCCATCTACCCGCCGCTCACATTCTCCGCGACGTCGCTCACTGTCGCCGATGCGGCCACGTTCACTAGAGGGTGACCAGGAAAACTAGTCGTCGCAGTCCACGAGGCAAGGGCTGCGACGCTGTCGAACTGTGGAAGCCCTCAGGAAAGACCTTCGAACGTGATAGACGTGCTTGTGGATGGTGTTCGTGCATCTGCCCTTGTAGATACTGGAGCCGCCGTATCCGTGATGGACGCAAAGCTTAGCCGAATACTGCGCAAAGTGACCACGCCACTTTCCGGGCTCTCCCTCCGTACAGCCAGCGCCCAAAGCATTCACCCTACAGCGATGTGTACAGCCCGCCTCGTGATTCAGGACGTGATGTATGCCGTTGAATTCATCATAATTCCTTCATGCTCTCACGACGTCATCCTAGGATGGGATTTTCTCTCCCGCCACGACGCCGTCATTCATTGCGCACCAGCAGAAATAGAGCTAACACCATTCTCTTCTTTGACGCCGGCCGACAGTCCATCTACTGCAAGCAAATTACTCGTCAGGGACGACACGCAAGTGCCTGCAAACTCGTCCGCGGCGGTGTCGGTGTACTGTGCAAGTCTTTCAGACACTGCTGCACTCCTCTCACCATTTCATCGTGTTTTCACCAGAAAAGGTTTGCTGGTTCCTTTCGCGACCGTGCAAGTAACTCGCGGCAGCACCACTATTTTTGTTCTGAACTCATCCCCGTACAGTGTTACGTTGGTGCGAGGAGAATGTCTCGGCAGCGTGGAACCCATCGAAGACGCACAAGTCATGGATCAACCTGATGACACGCACTGCCGAAGTTCCAATACGCTTAGTGCTGTTTCTACATCTGTTTCATCATCCGCTGATGTATTTGGTCCTTCCATTGCCGACAACCTTACGCCGGTCCAGCGCTCCCAGCTTCTGGCCCTGTTGGAAGAATTCCGCTCTTCTTTCGATGTCTCTCAACCTTCTCTCGGCCGCACATCGACTGTTACGCATCGCATTGACACAGGCGCACAACCACCACTACGGCAACGTCCATATCGCGTATCTCCCACAGAACGCCGTGTAATCAACGAGCAAGTGGACGACATGCTACGCCGCGATGTTATTCGACCCTCTAACAGCCCCTGGGCATCTCCTGTCGTTCTCGTCGCGAAGAAGGACGGTTCTGTGCGGTTCTGTGTGGACTACCGACGTCTCAACAAGATCACTCGTAAGGACGTGTACCCACTACCGCGTGTGGATGACGCGATTGACAGCCTGCAAGGAACCGAATTTTTTTCATCTCTAGATTTGCGCTCAGGGTACTGGCAAGTACCTATGGCTGAAGACGCTCGACCGAAGACCGCTTTCGTCACTCCCGACGGCTTGTACGAATTCAACGTCATGCCGTTTGGGCTGTGCAATGCGCCTGCCACCTTTGAGCGCATGATGGATACCGTCCTGCGTGACCTGAAATGGCACACGTGCCTATGCTACCTCGATGACGTCGTCGTTTTCGCTCCGGACTTCTCAACGCATCTTCAACGCCTGCGGCATGTTTTAACGCGTCTGAGTGACGCCAGTCTGCAACTGAACCTGAAGAAGTGCCGATTTGCAGCTCGGCAGTTGACAATACTTGGCTACGTCGTGTCCAAGGACGGAATTCTCCCCGATCCAGCCAAGCTTCGGGCCGTGACCGAGTTCCCCAAGCCGACATCCATCAAGGAACTGCGCAGTTTCTTAGGACTGTGTTCCTACTTTCGGCGCTTCATCCGAAACTTCGCGTCTATCGCATCGCCGCTGACAAAACTCCTCGGTAGTAACGGGCCTCTCCATTCGTGGTCATCACAGTGTGACGACGCATTCACAACGCTTCGTCGTTTACTGACGTCGCCTCCCATACTCCGCCACTACGACCCTACTGCCCCTACAGAGGTACACACGGACGCCAGTGGTGTCGGTCTCGGCGCTGTCCTTGCGCAGCGCAAACCAGGGTTCCCGGAATATGTCGTGGCGTATGCAAGCCGTACGCTTACAAAAGCCGAGACTAATTACACCGTCACTGAGAAAGAATGTCTGGCAATCGTGTGGGCCCTTACCAAGTTCCGACCTTATTTATATGGTCGCCCATTTGATGTAGTCACCGACCATCACGCACTATGCTGGTTGTCCTCATTGAAAGATCCCTCAGGCCGTCTCGCCCGGTGGGCACTTCGCCTGCAAGACTACGACATCCGCGTGCTGTACCGCAACGGAAGGCAACATGCTGACGCCGACGCCCTGTCGCGCTCTCCCTTGCCTGACGACAATGCCCACGACTCAGCGTCTCACCTTGCCGTTTCTTCCATTAGCATTCATGCCGTTGCTACTGAACAGCGCAAGGATCAATGGATTGCCTCACTGATAGACTTGCTGACTGATCCATCCACTCCATCCACTCGCGCGTTGCGTCGTCAAGCCCACCATTTCGCCGTTCGCGACGACCTTCTCCACCGACGCAATTACAGCGGTGACGGCCGCCAGTGGCTACTAGTCA